TTGGGGGCACTGAGAGGCACCAGCAGGGCTGGGGGGTGCTGCAGGGGGCTTTTAATTTTAATAATGGATTTTGGGGTTTTTATCAGAGCATTTGTGATTTTTCATCAGAGAATTTGTGATTCTTTTATCAGAGAAAACCAGGATCCCTGGTCATAGCTTTAAGTTTCTGTTCATTGGCATTTATCTTATATAGGAATGTTTGCCTTGCCAGGATTGTTCATTGTGGCCCTAGTACTGCATAGCAGTTAAACAGATGCTTAAATATCATTGAAAATAGTTTAATCTTCGTCACATAGCTGGGGTGAAGCACATGCCCAAGTGCTTTATTGGGCTGTGGTCTGTCTGCACTTCGAATGCACATGATTCTGTATTGCCAAGTAGCTGGGTATGAGCAAGCATTCATTTGGGCGGAGATTTTTAAATGGAAGAGTAGAAGCCGTCTATTTTGGACCCTGAACAGGAACAGTGATAGACCTGATCCTGCACTGTGTAAGCCATATCCATTTCAATGGAAAAAGTCTGTTTCAGGTTTTTTGATTTGATGCTATATGACAGATATCCTCACATAACCTGTTCCTTCTAAATACGCTAGTTTTGGCATCTGAGTGGTGGTTTCTGTAGTTCCTTTGCTGCTAGTGTCGTTATATGTGTACTTAGAGACCTGACACTGAGGGCCAAATTCAGACCTGATGTAGGATAGGTATAGCTACATTAGAGTCCTCTGGCCTTGTCCCTGTATCTCTACTCACGTATCATAGGGCCTGTTTTTTGTTTTTAGAAGTTGGGTACTCTAGGTTATGCATGGAATACTATTAGAAGCATACATCCTGATATTACTCTAACTTGAATGACCTGTTTGAGACTGCATTCTTCTGTTTAAAGTCAGCTATGTTCTGCAATTACTGTGTTCTGCATGAATTTTCTCCAACTACCTGTCTTCCCTGACCTTCACAAATTTCAAAATCTAGGCATCTGCGATGGGTTTACCACAGCCTCCAAAGAGAAAAAGGTGGGTTCATGCTATATACATATATATAACCAAAGACTCCAAATCCTCTACAGCCAGCTGAACAGAGTTGTGTTGCAGAGTCCCTGGTTTCTGCAGCATGCTCACTTACCATACTGGACATTCTATGGCAGCTTTCTTTGCAGGTTTGAATCAATTTAGCATGAAAATGAGTAACAGAATCAGTTCTCAAGTTTTTTGGAGTTGACCCTCACCTCCATTTATTTGATGATCTGCTAATTTCTTTTGGTGTGTCAACAAAGTAACTGCTTCAGGGAGATCTAACAGTGAAAGGCTAAAGGCTTGGATAACTGGGCATGGGACAGTTAGCCATTTGGTCCATGTGCATGGCAGGAGTATCAGTGGTAGAATCTGACCTTCTGTCATGTTACTTCAGATGCAGACCTTGCTGCAGTTTGCAGTCTTCTGTGTTCTCAGTAATAGTTCTGCAAGATCAAGGATGATTCTGATGCATTAGTTTTACAGCGCTGTGACTCCATTCACTACAGTGGAATTACTTGTCAATCAGAATCAGGCCAAAGTGTCTGGAATATTAAGCCAGTCATCAGTAGAGTGGGAGCTTTTTTTGAGCCAAAGAACATTTCAGATTTGAAGGCCTAACAAAAAGAGCTAAATTTTACATAAGTGTCTTAGGCTACAAGCAGCTGTCTTTTGTCATGGGATCATCTGTGATTGGTAGGTACTTGGGGCCGTTGTCGCACAGGATTAGGCCCTGAGTACTTCTAGGGCTTCAGGAGCCTGATCCTGCAGAACAGTGGCTGTGCGTGCCTGGTCCCAACCCAGGGGACTCCATGGGGTTCTATACTCCATGTTTGCAATATGAACCCCCAGGGGGTTCCCTTGCTTGGCAGTGCAAAATGTGTACCCCAGAATTGCCTACCTAGGGCGGATGGAGATTGCAGGCATCTCTGCAATAAGATGTGACAAACCATTACCAGGAGTTGTTCTGCAAACCTTTTTGGGCATTTGGGCCATGATAGAGAGCAAGGACATTCTATTCACTCATGTTTTGTTCCACCATAAAAAAAATTCTGATGCAACAAGGGTCTATTTGCAGCCCTATAGCCATAAGCATTCTGCTTTGCTCTTGATTTTGTGCAGCTGCATTAACCATATCTCTTAATCACACAAGAAATATGACTCTAGAAGCTTACCTGAGCACAGAGGGGAGAAGCCAAATTCTAGGTGACTGAAGAAATCTCTTTTTCTGGTCAAAAGGGCTGTGAAGAATGTAGCATCAACTGGAACATGTCGTGCCGGAGGGCAGGCTGGGGCAGGCATAAAGGCAGACCAGCTTATCAGAAGTCTCTTTTATCTAGAGGAGTGAAAGGGAACCTGCCAGGAAGGTTATCAGCATGTTTATAAAAGTGGTACCAAGAGCACAAGCACAAACATAGCAATTATTGCAGCAGATGCTAAAGGAGAAGGTACAGGAGAAAAACATTTTCCTAAGGTGATTTATCCATTGAGGGCTGCAGAAAATGATGAAGAAAATCAAGGTAGTCAGGTTACAGTAATAACAGTGTTTCCCAACTGATTCTTGAGAGTCTGATTCATTGACCCTGATTGGCACAGGCCCTTACAGTCTATGTAGCATCTTGATATAGAAGTTGCTCATGAAAACCAGGAGCTTCTGCCAAAATGCTGAAAA